CTGCTTGTGGATCAAGATGTGAGCCCTCAGCTACTGTTCCAGCACCACGCCTGCCTTCCTGCTACCATGTTCTCTGCCATGATGATCGTAGAAACTGTAAGCCTCAAATAAACCATTTTTTAAATAAGTTGCCTTGGTCCTGGTGTCTTATCACAACAATAGAAAAATACCTAAGATAACCCCCCCACACACACACACACTTCTATTGTTATATCAGTAAGATGAAAGGGTCATTAACTTTTAAAAGCAGATGTGATGATTTGAACAAATGGACAATGTCTGGTACTTCTACTCTCCTCAGACCTATTTGAAATTTCACCTTTTCCTACTCTTTGTTATGTGGAAGGTACTAGGGCCAAAAGGAATGAAGAAAGTGTAGTTATCCTTATCTAACTGGAATCTGAGGTCCAGCAGAGGGTCAAAAATACATAATGAACAATGTATTGTATTCCAAATAATGTGGAATTTAATCAAGTCATACAGACACCCAGCAATTATACCACCAGGACAAAAGGGAAGACACTGTGGGGACATGACAGAATCAACAGCTACTACCTGTTTCCTAGAATGCTAACAAGTTGTAAAGGTGGACCCAGATTGCTGTCATTTAAATGTTTCCTCTGCTATGATGGTGTCCCCAAAATTCATGTGCTAGAAAGTTAATCCCCAATATAGGTGTTGGGAGAGGAACTTTAGAGGTGATTCATGGGGTCTGCCCACATCAATGGATTAATGTATCAGAAGAGAGTTCCTCTGATAAACACATTGACGCCTTCTTTTTCTCTTTCCCCTGCCCTTCCCCTGGGCTGGAGAGATGACACAGCAGCAAGAGCACTTGCTATTCTTCCAGAGGACCTGCGTTTGGTTCCCAGCACCAGAGTCGGCCTGCTTCTTACGGCTGCCAGCAACTACAGAGCCAGGACATGTTGCCATCTTCTGCCCTCTTTGGTCTCTTGTGTACATGCACAGAGGTACAGATCAGTGTAGCGCGAGGGCCGGCTTGTTGGGGTATCTGTTCCCGCCCAGTACCCCACAACCGGCAATTCCCAAAGAAAATCACACACAAGACTCAATAAGATTATAAACTGATTGGCTCATTAGGTCAGGCTTCTTATTAGTCCTTGTAACTTATATTAATCCATTATCGTTATCTATGTTAGCCACACGGCTCAGTACCTTTCTCAGTGTGACAGCTTACATCTTGCCTCTTCGGTGGTCTACACAGAAATGGCGGAGGGAGCTTCCTGTTTTCTCAGAATACTCCCAGTCTTGTTGCTCCACCCCTACTTCCTGTCTGGCTTTCCCACCTATACTGCCTGCCTGGTCAATCAGCATTTTATTAAAATATGATTGACAGAATACAGACAATTCTCCCTCATCACATCAGTATAGTAGGAGAGGGAAGGAGGGAGGAGGAAAAAAATAACACTAATTTTATATAATTTAAAAGAAGTTATGCCACTTGGGCTGACAATACTTCTTTCAGGATGTAGGCAGAGGTTGCTCGTTCATTTCACAGATGCCCAGACCCAAATAATAACATAGAAACTATATTAATTACAACACTGTTTGGCCAATGATTCAGGCATATTTCTAGCTAGGCATATTTCCTACAACTTGAATTATCCATTTCTATTAATCTATGTATCGGCACAGGCTGTGGCTTACTGGTAAGGATCTATCTCTTCCAGACTGGCTATATTCTGCCCTGCTACAGGCTGAAGCAGATTCTTTATTAACCAATAAAACATATTCATAGCATACAGAGGGGAATCCAACATCATCAGGATCCACAGATTTCTAGCAGAATTTCTAGTACTCAGCATCGGGAAGTCCCTTTTGAGTCAGGAGAGTCCAAGGGACTCCCAAAACAACACAAGCTGTTTCTGTTGCCCTTGGTTGCCCCCGAGAGGTTGAAGGCAAGTCCTTATTGCTAAAGACACCACCTACTTTAGACACAGAAATCAGAGAATCTGAGCTGGATGTGACCTGAAAGCCTCCTCTCTGAGGACTAGCTTTCACAGTGCCTGAATATGCTATACAACCTGCCAAAGTGGGGGAGGGGGGAGGCAACCAAAAATCTTACATCGCTGTGACACCTATAACCCCAACAATGACCAACAGATTGAGATTACAACAGGCAAGAGAGTCCTAAGGGTGCAATAGTGGCACTCATATCTTGGCAGTAACCAAGCTGTCTAATTAGACTTGAGCAAAAATGGCCCCCAAGCTCAGAAAGTGGTACCAGTCAAGTAATACCAATAAATCACTGACATGAATGAAAACCACAGAAAGTCAGAAACAGCTCAGAGGGTAAAGGCACTTGCCACCAAGCATGACAGCCTGAGTTCAAGCCCTGGAAACGTGTTGTGGAAGGGAGAACTGACTCCCATAAGCTTTCCCCTGACTTTCACACACATACACATAATAAATAATTTTTTTATAAAGAAAAAAGGAAAGAAGGAACTCATGAGCTGCTCCAGATCAAAGTCAGATGACCAGGGTTTGTAAGTTGAACCTTGCAGGGAATTTTAAACAGCACACACACACACACACACACACAAACAAACAACCCAGAAAATTAAACATTATTTGAGTATAGTTATGCACATTTAATATGTATAAACCATGACTACTTTTATATGGCAGCTCCAGAGGTAGGCATTTGTATAAAGACTTCAGGGCCTACAAACTCTGAGTTTGTATTTGCCCCTTTACAGGGAAAGGTTGCTAAATCCCTGCCAGCCTGAAAGGGTCAATCAACAGATATCATTTATTTGCACAATATTTTAAACAAACTCACATAAAAATTTGAGCATTTTGAGGTAATCTGCTAAGAGGTGATGATAACTTTGTGGTCCCAGAAGAGAAAGTTCCTTCTTTGGAGGTACAAACCTAAAACTGCTTTAAATCAGTTTTTTGTTTTGTTTTGTTTTTTTATCTTGCAGTGTTGAGGGTAAAACCCAGGAAGGACCCTGCAAATGCCACACAGGTGCTCTACCACTGAGCTATAGCTCCAGTCTTAAATGAACACACACTGGGAAGAAGTATGTATATCAGGCTGAACAGAATCATGACATGTATTTAGTGGTTATCTAGAAGTTTATTAGATTACTTCTATGCTTTCATGTTTGGTTAAAATTTTTCCAACTAAAAAAATTAGAACCTTAATAAAAAATAGAACTTAACATCAGAGAACTTTTCCTTCCTCAGTACCATCTGATTCAGATGTCTCTAGATCCTGGCAGTCTCAACACACCTGTTGGCTCCCTTACTCTTTCTGAAGTTTCATATTTCTATCCTGTCTTTTGCTCATGGTATCTAAAATCAGCAATGTCATTATCCCATTCCTCCAAAAAAAAGTCACCCTCTGCTCAAGGTTTAGCCCCAAAAGACCTTCAGCATTCACTCCAATAGCACATGGCCTTGTCCTTCATCCTTCCCATATTAGTGATAATATCTATTGACTCATAATGTCATAAAAACCCAGAGACTTTGAACAACTAGTCTTTTCAGTGAACTCAGCCGAGGGAGCATAACAACACCTCACAAAGTAACCAGTGCCTACACAGCTCTGGGTTCCAGGGGTTAGGCCTGCAGCCTAAGCAAGGCTGTCCTTCCCAGAGCTGTTCCATCAACAATACAGAGATGAATTTGTTGGTCAAGATGCTGGGTAGTCATGATTAGCTCAGGCTCCCTGAATAAAATTTCTAATATCTATTGGATCCAGGTGGGGAATGTTCTAGAGAAGACGGCTAAGATCTTTGGTGCGGTCCTCCTATTGCTACCTTCCCATGGGCCATACCCCTCTCCAAACATGACGGCACTGGTTTAGAGGGTGGAGGGTACAATAACAAGCTATGCAATGAGTCCTTTTCAAGCACTGCCAGAACTGGAGCTCTCAAAAGCTCTCACTCGATAAGGGGAAAACAACACATGTGTGTGTGGGGGGGGGGGCTGTTATTTCTTGACATAAGGTCTTTCATAGCTGAGGATGGCTTGCTTCAGTCTTCTGAGTGTTAGGATTACAGGCACAAGCTGCCACACTTGGCTTGAACATATCACCTTAAAAATTAACTATTGCAGGGTTGTGGTTCTGTACTACACATGGCCACCCACTATTCAAGATCACAAACAGCCATTAGTAAGATTCCATCTCACCCTCTCACACATAGCAAGGTGGCAGTTTACAACTGAGCTACAGATCCAATCCCAACTTTGTTTTCCAGTGCTGGAGATCCAACCTTGGACTTTTTGTATGCTTAAGGTTATGGTTAGTAAAGTTTACTAGTTAAAAAAAAAAGTTCGGTACAAAAAGCCACCTATTAACTTTGCAAACTAAGCTTTTAAAGACAAATGTTCTCCACTGGAGAAGACTGGTCTCCTTACTCAGGGACTTCTTTCTGGCTTCTCCTGGGAGCAGGGTCAGGAAAAGAAGGCCAAACTGCAGGGCTCCTCACGTTAGCACTTCAATTACAGGAACCAGGGCAGGAAAAAGCCTTCAACTAGCAGAAAATAAGTACACGTGTGCACAAGACTTACCTCTCAGAGGTAATTCCAATTGATTCAATGATAGCATTTATTTTTAACTCATGATTTCTTACTGGGACCTTCAGCCTACTCTTTAAAAAAAAAAGTGGCTCCTATTCTAATGTGTTTCCTTATTCTTTCAACACGAATAAACTGAGCTTGGAGTTAAGAAGCTAAGTTAAAACACATACACACCTCTGATGGGTTTTGAGCAAGGCTATGTATGCCGTTATAACTGGCTAATAGAGTGAACAGCACTGAAAACAACGACGAGAATTCAAAGGCAAAAATCTCCAAAGATCCAGATGTGTTATTAACGTCTCCAAAAGAATCTAAGACCAGAAAGTGACCCACAGAAGTTGGTTTTGGATTCTTTTGCAAGTTTTGGTCTCCACACGCATAAGAAACACCTAAAATTAAAAAGCAGAACTTTTGAAAACAGCCTCATTCCACTTAGGCTCTTAAGCTACCTGCTGGAGCCGTGCGTCCCACCAGGAGCGAGCAGCCGCTCCGCTGAGGCCAGCGTCTCGGTCTGCGTCTCCCGCCGTGGTCATCGCGTCCACCGCGTGGGCCGTCCCCGGCGGGGTTCCGGGGTCAAACGTGTTCCCCGCCCCGCGGGTTCCGCCCGTCCGGCCCCGCACCTTCAGGGACGCTAGCGGCCCATGCTCCGCTGGCTGGTGACTGAATCTAAGCCGCCCCAGGCTCCCAGTCCCAGCCCGCTCAGCGTCTCACCTGCACCCGGTCAAGAGGACCGCGGGGAGCGCGCCGGGCGGCGGAGCGGAAATGCCCTGCTGGGCAGGCGCTGCAACCAAACCGCCCCGGGCGGCGCCCCCTGCGGGCCGCACGCGGCTCCTCTATCCCCCTGCGGCGCGGTCGCCTTGATGCCCGCTGCTAGCACACCTGGCCGCCTGCACCTCTTCCCACGCGGCCAGGACCACGCACTTACCTATTGAAGGCCACCTTCCTCCGAACTGAAAGAAAGAGCCCCTCCCCCCCGACACCAGACACAGGTACAACCGCTTCCACGGGAGTAGACTCTACATTACACATGCCTGGGTTGGACCCAAACATACCTGAGACCTACTACTTCAGAAAGACTCATAAACACAAAATTAAAGATTCACCTCCTTCCATAAACCCCGAGATGACGCTAAACTCAGATCTGAGGGAGACTCCACAAGACAGATTGATGAATCACCAAGGTCTTACACCTGCTCATACATACTCCTACTGGTTACAGGTAATGTGGCCATTTTGCCCACCTACCAACTCTTTTTGAAATAAAACTTACTTAGAAGCTAGTGGAAGGACTGACTTTCACCTGCATCTTATCTCTAGCACTAAGCGAGAGCCATAAAAGCTGAGGGCAACTTTTTCTCTAGAGATTTTTCTCCTGGAAGGTGTAGTCCAGGTGAAAGCAATGCCAACGATGGTGAGAGGTCGCTCTCCTCCAAGACACACAAATTAAGTATAAGGTAACTGTTTTCCTCTAATCACTTCCTGTCCCTTTGACTTTTTCGTGTAAGTGGAGTACTTGAGATCATTTCATAGTCTTGGTTTTCATATATACTCAATGATGCTGAAGTAGTTGTATTTTAAATAGATCCAAGTCTAGGTAGGAGAAATCTATCTGATCAGATTCATCAACCACAAACTCTTCCTACAGAGGATCACGAGAGGAAAGGGAGTCATAAGGGAGAACCTGAGAAGGTGAGAAAAGGATAGTAATCGGGTACACATGACATAAAAGTAGAAAATGGGCAGGGTATGGAAGCGAAGAGTGGACAAGAGGATCAGTAAAAACAGTTTATATGAAAGTCTCATGAGGAAGCCTATTACATGGTATGCCTATTTACAAAATGAATTTTAAAAAGTTGATAAAAAGGGTCTAAGGATGCTTGAAGTCACTGGTTTAATGAAACTTCTCATTTCACTGTGGAGAAATTAATAAAACCAAAAATGATCGTATTGTATTTATTGGAAATCACTGGGGCACAGAGTAATTAAGCAACTGTCCAGGTTCCAGGTAATATGGTGACATTGGATGCATCTGTCTCTATAGAGTCACTGAGCCTTGAAAATAATGACTCATGGCAAGAAAGGGACCCTGAGATCTATGGTCTTGTTCCCAAATTCTTCCAACCTTATATTGGTGTGGGAGAATTGTCTGTATCTGTCAATCATATTTTAATAAAACGCTGATTGGCCAGGCAGGCAGTATAGGTGGGAAAGCCAGACAGGAAGTAGGGGTGGAGCAATGAGAACAGGAGAATTCTGGGAAGTAGGGAGGTTCCTCAGCCATTCCTGCGCAGACCACCGAAGAGGCAACATGTAAGCTGTCACAGTGAGAAAGGTACTGAGCCCATGTGGCTAACATAGATAAGGATAATGGGGTAATACATGTTATAAGAGTTACCAAGAAACCTGACCTAATGGGCCAATCAGTTTATAACCTTATGGAGTCCTGTGTGTGATTTTTCTTTGGGCTTGCCGGTTGTGGGGTACTGGGCGGGACAGAAACCCCAACAAGCCAGCCGTCATGCTACATCATATTGTTTGCTGAGGAATAAAAGCTGCCATGAAAATACTTTATCAGATGATTTTAGATTTTTAAAAAATGCATATGGGTGTTGCTTGTATGTCTACACACGCCTAAACCACCTCATGTTTCTGTGGAAGATATTATTTCCCATTTTACTGCTGAAGCTGGGCAGAAACAAAGACCAACCTCAGCATCTCACAAAGAAACATGCAAACTAAGTTTAGGTAGCTCAACAAGGCCATTCTTTTTTTGTAAAAGGGTGGACCCAAACTCAGGGTAGGCTAGCAAGCACACCAGGACCAATATGGCTCCCATCCTTTATTTCAGACATAAGTGGTGATTGAGTCTCATCCCACGGATGGGAGGGAAGTCCCTTCCCGTTGGTGGAAGGGAATTCTCATCCCATTGGTGGAAGGGAATTCTCATCCCATTGGTGGAAGGGAATTCTCATCCCATTGGTGGGAGGGAAGTCTCATCCCATTGGTGAAAGGGAAGTCCCTTCCCATTGGTGGAAGGGAAGACTCACTCTGACATGACTGGCTAATCTGCTAGAAGGGAAAGGTTCAGAAACACCCTCATCACAGAATGAACTACATTTGACAGGAAAAATGGTTCTCACAGCACTTACTGAGAGATGAAATTTCTTACTACACTACCTTTATAGAGCTGCTATTCCAGGGTTACCACAAATGGGTTGGAAATGTAAACATTTAAAGCTGAAGGTAACCAGAACATAAACTGTTAAAGTAGAAATCTTGATAGCATTGCAAAAGTTTAGCGCTGTGTATGACTCCGAGTGGAGAATGATGTCTCCTCATGTCATCACACAGATGATGCGGGGGTAGCTGTGAGGGAATGTTCCAGGTGTAGGCAGAGTATTTGGTATAACCTCTGTCAAGATTCTGACAATTCAGCCCCCAAAGTGTGGTTTACCTAGAAGTGGGTAAAACTATTGCAGATGAGTATGACAGATTACATTTCTGAAGGTAGACCCAACAATCATTCTCATTCCTCATCACAGTCAGACTTTGTCTTCGCATCCCCACTAGGTGGGGGTAATCATTCAGGAGGGCAGGAGCCAAGACTGAGTGGACCCTTGGACTTGGCTAAGTTCCCAAGGGCTGCTAGCTGGGCCTGGAATTGGGCCAGGCTCAGAGGTATTGAGGTATCCCCATGTCTGCTGCATATGAGTTCTGTGGAGGGACAGCCTATTATGGATCTCAGGTTGGAGTGGGCCTAATGCCCCAAGTTGGCCCAGAGACTTTGCAGCTTGAAGGCCATACAGGAGTCAGAGTGGAGAGCATCGTGGAGGGGGCCTCTCGTGGTCCATGTACTGTGTAAACCACAGTGCCATGAAGGTAGAACAAAATCCTGAGGAATCACAGGACATGATGGCCCTGGAGAAAGAACTAGATCATTTTGTCAAACAGCTGAAGCAAAAGGTCACCCTGGGATACACTCAGGCTGACAACGGTGCTCACCCTGGGCATTCCTTTTAAAAAGGTATTCAACCAGACAACCACTTGCTGCTTTGGGGACCTGCAGCTCAGCTTCAAGAACACATGTAAGCTGCAGCCCCTGTGGGAGAAATGGGTGGAAGAAGCCAACAAGGAGAACTTTCAGAAGATATGCAAAGTAGAGCCCATTCTGCAGGTGTGGAGAGAAATCAGATGAGTACTGAGAACCATGTGAGGGGAAACCTGAAAATGATTTCTGCGGTGTCCAAAGACCTTGCAGATCAACATCATCACCAAGCATCTTGGGTTGGAGAAGGATGTGATCCTAGCTGGTTCTGTATGTGTTCTGTAATCTTCACCAGAATCAAGAACAATCAAGCACCGACTATTCCCAACCAGAGGAGTATGAGGCTGCAGGATCTTCTTTTCAGGAAGATCTGTATCCTTTCCTCTGTTCCCAAAGCCCCAGTTTGGAGCCCTGGGCTACAAGAGCCCCATCATCACCATGCTCCACTCTTTGACAGCTTTTGGGATTAAATTCTTCATTTACTGAAGAGGGACTGAAAGTACAAAGGGCTGTGGGACACAAAGTGTGGGAAGAGGTGATGGAGGGAAGCTGAAGTTCACAGATAACGATCATGAGCCCATCACTCATCATTTTGTTCTTAAAGAAGCTGGGACACAATCTTTTTTTAAAGTGATGCCAACACAACTCCTTCCTCTGACCCTGAATGGAGCTGCAACATGGGCAGGAGACACTAAGGTCTGAAAGGGGATGCAGCATTTGCCTGACCGACGCTGCCAAGCACTCAGCTGCCATGGTTAAGGAAATTCAAACAGATACATGGACACGTCAGGTCTCTTATTCCAGGTCTCAACTCCTGATGAGTCACAGCCACCACCCAGCATCACCTGCCAGACCTGTGAGTTAATAAGATTTCAGATGATTCTGGGCTCCAGCCTTTTTACCAACCTGGCTCGTGATTAAACAGAGTAAGACAGGAACTGCCAGGCACTATCCAGCCCGGTTTGCAGAATGTCAGAACAATGAAGTTTGACCACTGTGATGGTTACTCTTAATCATCTTGATGGGATTTAGAATATTAATGGAAATACTCCTCTGCACTTGTCTATTAGGGATTTTCTAGATTAGATCAACTGAGGTGGGAGGATCTACCTTAAATGATGGTGGCACCATCCCAGGGATGGGGTCCTGTAGTGAGTGGAAAAGGGGCTGAATAGTGGCATCTGTCATTCTTTGCTTCCTGACTGCAGACTCAATGTCTCCAGATGTTTCCTCAAGCTCCTGCTGCCATGACACCGTGATGGATCTGTACCTTGAACTATGATCCCAAACAAACCATACTTAAGGTGTTTTTGTCAGGTATTTATTGCATCAACCAGTACAACCATTACCTGAGTACTCTATCCTCGACAATCTGGCAATAAATGAATTATTAACCATCATAATTAGCAAATAACTTACATTACTTAAAGCATTAAGTTTTGAAGTTAACAGGCGACTGAAACAACCCATTTCTAATCAACATTTAGAAGTTAGCTGGAAAATATTTTACTTGGTGCAAGCATAACTGGATTTGGGCTGAAAGATTTAAGAGAGCTTACTTCTAAAGAAGTAAACAGCTCAAATGGATAAGGAGGCTTTCAGTTCTTAAATATGTAACTTGGATTGCAGGGAAAGAAAAGCTGTGGAGGCAC